AGATCTCTTACAAATGTACATTGCCCACTCGCTTTCCAGAATTCATGTCTGTTGTGCGCTCCTTTTCATGGAAAATGTTTGTTGGTAACAACAAAAACCTTATAGTTTTGACTGAATGTATTATCGTCCGAGGTTCAGAAACTCAGCTTCCTGGTCGTAATTCCTAAGTATTTTCCAATCAGTGTTTCAAGAGGGATGCTATATCCGGAATTATATGACTCCCAAGATAATTCGATCTAATCTAAATCGGGGAAATCCTGACAATGACCAAGAAAGTTTTCCAGAGTTTCACTGTCCCCTCTATATGCTCTACATTCGTTTGAATCCGCAATTCCAATTTTATATAGCTGTGCCCGTGATCTTGTGTGTCCACTCAGAATACGTATCATCATATTAACCTCAGACTTGCTCATTTTAGGGAGGCTTCTCGTCATGCTCTCATTAGAGTCACCCAATAGGATCTTTGTGGTTCTACCCATCATTTCAATATTCAAAGCCTTCTGGCTGTTGGTAAATATGTTAAGCCCTATGGGCGTCATATTTATTCTAATCCAATTTACGAATTCCGTTATTGCCCAGACTTCTGACTGGAAGCTACTGTTGTAATTAGGTAAACCGTGTAGCCACGGATTCCTACGACTGGGTGCTCTAATGTTTCGATTGACCAAGACATTCTATCTGGGATCAGTGTTTCAAACTTCCTGACATATTCTGTGTCTGATATCCGATGATTATGTATAGCCTTCCAATGTGTCCAGTATATATTAATGACGTGTCCTATATAACCGTTGTTGGCCAGTTCGCCTAAAGTTATGAGCCATTCGGTTGTAAGTTCCCATGGGTGCAATATCTAGAAACGTTTCTAGGGCCTTGGTTGACGTAGTACTCATGTCATCACTTATACCCAAGCAGTATGTACGCTGAACCCCTGTAATAGTTTGATATTACACTTTTTGCCCAAAGAATTCCACCAGATTATTGAAGCATAAGTTAGAATTTGTCTAATTACTGCTGTATATCGCCAATGTCATGGTAGGGCTAAGACCCCATTTCATGCCTATGGTTCTCTATATTCTCTTTATTTCATGGTCTGAAAAAGAGTGCTCGTCCAATTCTGAATTTCTTTTAAAAGCTCTTTTGAACATACAGTTATATCTAATATTTCTTCTCTGATTCTATTAACGAAGGTAGCTTTATTACCAAAATTCAATGTGATCAAATCTTTAGTATTAGGACTTGTTTCCAGCGATTGATGTTTGTGGTACCCTAAGCTACATGGTGGGAGTTTGCATCGCGATCTATTACACTCACCTCTTTCACCATTTCCTCTATTTCATCCTTTTTGGAATCTGAGTGTTCAGAGTCGGAGTTTAAAGGCTGAGGTAGCTTAAAGATCACTCGGAGTACATCCTTATATTTCACACCTATATTTTGCTAATGGCATGCTTTACACTTGACGCGTTCTCCGATACGAAGCCCAAGGTAGTAGTCTTTTGCTCGCGATTGCAGGAAGATGACGACACATCGCGAGCTGATTAACACTTGCCGATGGTAGTCTTTTGCTCGCGATTGCAGGAAGATGACGACACATGACTCGCGAGCTGATTAACACTTGCCGATGGTACTGTCTTTTTCCAGTTTTTTGGTCCGAGGGGAATACAAGATTCCCAGATGGCGGACAGTCTTCCCTCCCTCAGCTTAAGTGAAACTATAGCTGGGAGATGAGAAGTGTTCCTGTAAAGCTTTAAAGTTGTCCGACAGATGGCGCCGAAGTTTTAATGTAATTACACCTAAACCGCTAAGAGCGGGTTTTTGAAATGATAATCAAATGCCAATTAATAATCAGATTAGTTAATCTAAAAATAAATTAAATCTTATGTTAATCCCCTTTGATGTTTTTGAGTACAAGATTAAACTTCGCAGTGTTGCCATACAAAACAACAGAAAACTTCACTGTTTGTTATCAAAACAATGCATATTTTATAAAAAAGAAGAAGACAATTGTAAATTTAATATGAAAATTAATGAAAACTTAAATTAAAAACAAAAAAATGTATTCTGAAGTGTCTATAATTTATACTAATCAAAAAATAGAACATTTTAATGTTTATATTTATAAAAATTGTATTATTTTTTTGCATCAGCTGTTTACACTTTTGCATTTCGTGCTTAAGATTAAACCACCTCCATTGGGCGCTTAAACTTGCAAACAAAATTAACTAATTGAGTACTCAAAAACATCTTTCGAGGATTAATTTTAATTTAATCGCTAATCTTTCACCTAAATATTGGCCCTAAACCTATTATTTTAAAATTGGATGATTTTGTATATAAATCTTTACGTACATATATAGTCCTAATCATGGGCCTGCAACGCGGACCGGCCTTAACTAGTTTTACATAAAAATGTATTTGCTTTCGCGCTTTCTTTGTTAAACATATTTTAAAAGTTGTTGTTTACATTATTAAATCATGATTTGGGATGAACGTTGGTTTCGAAAAGCGAAAAAAAAAACATTGTGGGTGTAATTCAATGAAGTTTATGATGATTAATTTCAGTTATTTACATCAATGTAAATAAATCTATGTAAAAATTAAAAAAGAATTTTTTTAAGGGCGTTCTTATCTTTCAATCCAACTTACCAAATATTGATGACAGGACAAATATTATGAGAAACGGCAACTTAGAATCAATTTCATTTAAGTTGGGAAAATTGACAATTTATTTTACTCCATACAAAAGTGGCCACCCTAATATAAAAACAGTTACATATCGTCATTTGAAATCCAAAAAGCCCTAAATTACATTGAACAAATTTTTCCGGAAAAGCAAAAAACCTTCTAAAATGATAAATAAAGCAAATATTTTTCACATTTTCTCAATTTAAGCTTATTTTTCACCTTCGTAAGAAGGGTATAGGTCAGTTTGTCATTCTGTTTGTAATTTCTATAATATAATTTTCCGACCCTATAAAGTATATATGTTTGTTGAAATCAATTTTCTGAAGACCCCAGATATCCTCGGGATCCAAATCTCCAACAATTCTGTCAAACATGCTTCCGAGAAGTTTTGTTATTTAAAATCAGCAAAATCGGTTCATAAATAACAGATATATGTATGAGCAAAATCCGAGACAACCTCTGAAAATTTCATCAAAAATTTAGATTTTTCGTGCATGCGAAAAACTTCAAAAAACAAACTACAACAATACACATAATCATAAAGTAAATTTTATTATTGTATTACTTGTTTATAAAAAAGCAAAGCAAGAACAATAATTACGAATCAGTGTGTTGTTATTGCCTAGAATCATGATATTAAGTATGTAGACCACGGATTAAGTGAGAACACATAAAACCATTTTGGAACATTTTCGTTCTACAGAACGTATTTTTTTAAATTTTCTATTTCATTGAACATAGAAACATGAAATTAAGTATGTAAGCCCAGATTAAGTGAGAATCTATAAAAGGGGACTTTTTAGTACTTTTTCGTTCTTCAAAAGGTACTTTTTGAATATTCTACAATATTGAACCTACACAGAGGAAAAAAATATACACGCCTAGTACCAAATTAACACCAAATTGTTTAATAACATCCATTGTCAAGTATATACATACATACCACAACAACATGTAATCTAGACCACGCAACTTTGTCAACATTGCAACAATTCGTTGTCGCAATCTAAACTTTATGCACATCCATTGTCTAAATGTTAACAAACGTGGTAAGCTCACTATTTACAAAGCAGTTAGAGCTAACCACGTTTGTTAACTTTTAGACAACGGTTGTGCATAAAGCTTAGATTGCGACATCGAATTGTTGCAATGTTGACAAAGTTGTATATAGCAGGGTATATTTTTTTCCTCAGTGTAGAAATATGAAATTATGCACGTAAATGAGAACATATAAAAGGGCACTTTTTGGTACCTTTTCGTTCTTCAAAAGGTACTTTTTGTGTTTTTTTTATAATAGAAACATAAAATCTCCTAATGGGGACTTTTTGATATTGCAGTTATATATACGATCAGGGTAGCGAAGCACACTGGGTATAGCTAGTTTATAATAAAACGCATTTTAAAATAGTAAATGTAAAGAAATTTTAATATTTCTCAATAAAGATAATCTAGCGATATATATATTTATCATCCAGAAGATTATCAGAAGATAGCTTAAATTTTCTCCTAGGTTATTATCTAGCAATTCAACTTTTTTTAACTTCTACAAGAATTGCTTTCGTATTGCTTAGAAGTTTCGCCTCTGACGTACCATCTCTCCCGAAGGGAATATCTTCCGCAATATGAATATGATTGTTGCCGCAACAAATTTTTCTTCTAAATATTACGAATTCGTATCGCCTTGCTTGTAGGGATATTTAAATAAAAATTAAAAAAAATGGTTGCGCGGACTAGCAATCTGAGGCGTGGCACTTCCATATGAATTTTTATTGCTGTAATAAAATTTTACATGGGTAACATTAAAATCCATATTAACGTTTGGAAAATATGGGGACCCTAAATTGTAGATGGGTAATCTCCCATACAAAGAATCGTATATCTGGAAAAGTGGGTTTTTAATTAATTTTAGGAACATTGGGTATAACTAGTAACTTATATTTGTCTTGTCTGTTCTGTAAGTCGAATAGTTTTAAAACCGAGATATTTTTAAAATCGAATAAATGCATATTTGATGTTCTGTATTGGGGTTTGTCTTATTGCAATTAATTTTTGGTAAGTCCCCATTTTATGTAGCCAATTTAAAAATCCCGATTTTTAAAATATTTGCTTCAAAAATCCAACTATCGGATTCCGCTTTTATTTAATAACGTTGAAATTTTAAAACTTATCTGAAAACTCAGCCGGCTTACAGTCGATTTTAAGCCGCCGACGAAATTTTTAGAGTCAGCCGCCACCGTGTAAATGTTTATCGGCGCAGCACACGAGCGGGATAATTGCAAACAAGATGCCGACGAAATTTTTACAGTCACCCGCCACCGTTGTCAACTGCAGCTCTGCAAGCAGTGCTTAGAAAAGCAGCGTCTCAGCAAATCTGTTTTTTTTATATGAACCAAACATTCAACTTAGAGTCGCGGTTTCTCAGCAAAACGTCCCCGTAAGTTTTATACGTGTTTGTGTGTCAAACTCAGCAAGAATTGCTGAGCTACAGCAAGTAGAAGCAGCGAGCAAGAGACGTTAACGTTTTTCGCAGAGAAGCCGCCGTACGAATTTGTCTCAAAGAAGAAAAAGCAAAAAAATAGAGGAAAATTTCACAAATGTGTTAAAATTTAAAGAAAATATAATTCGAATTCCCCAACATAAATTGTATTTATTTTTTTTTAATATTTACAAAAAATAAATTAAAAAGTGTAGAGCAAAATCACAACATCTAAATAAAATTTAAACAAGTGATAAAATGTCTGAAGCCGAATCAACTTCAGTGGTAAAACCACCACCACCGAAATCAAGCCTCAGTGATTTGAGACAATTTCGTATTAATAAAAATGCCGCAACAGCAGGCGCTGGAGCAAAAACTGGTAAGTGAATTAGAAGTTTTACAATAGATAAATGATGAAGATAACAATTTACTTTGTAATAATTAAGAGCGTGTACCCGGCAAGAAACGTATCCAGGTTATGGCTGACAGTGATACCGATGAGGCTGATGGTAATTCTCCTAAGAAAACCAAGTTGGAGTTAACGGTCAAAGAGAAGGAGGAACGATTTTTAGCGGCGGCCAAAATCTCTTCAGAATATGATACTATGGTAAGTAGTTGGAAGAGTCTGAGTTTGTGCTTTATACAATCACTAATGGCGTCCTGCATTTAAAGGATATACAAGATGCCTTGGTTCATAGTGGTTGGGATGTATCGGCCGCTTTACGTTATCTTAAAGATAAATGTCAACCTAAGAGTCGTTCCGGCCAGTCAACTGGCAATACTTCCACGACCAAACCTACGACAGTAGATACAGCTAAACCTGCCACCAATGGCAGTTCGAAGCATCACTCATCGAAATCAAAGAAATCTGCTAATTATGATTCAGAAGCTGATGATTCGGCCGACGAATCTTATGCAAAGGGCCAAGTTTACGACAGTGAAGATAGTGATGGTGAAGAATCAAGGGAAATGTCCGGCCAGCGTAAAAAAGTATTTGAATTTATGAACACTGCCTCATTAATGGAACTACAAACGGTTAAAACTCTGTCCGAAAAGAAAGCAAGTCTTATTGTTGATTTAAGGCCTTTTAAAGATTGGGCAGATTTGCGTAAGAAGCTAGAATCAAACAAAGCCTTGTCAGCCGAACTGCTGAACAATGCCCAGGAACTTATCAATAAGCAAAACAATGTTGCCAACATTTTGACTAAATGCAACAAATTAGTACAACGACTAGAAGCTGCCATTGAGGCTGGAGCTGGCATTGTGGAGCAACCGAAAATTCTCAATGACAAGTTCAAATTGGCAGACTACCAATTGATTGGTCTCAACTGGCTAACAGTGATGAATAAGCAACAGATGAATGGCATTCTTGCCGATGAAATGGGTCTGGGTAAAACTATACAAGTTATAGCATTCTTAGCATATCTAAAAGAAAACAAGCTCTCCAAGGCGGCTCATTTAATTGTTGTTCCCTCGTCCACACTGGATAATTGGGCAGGTGAGTTGGCCAGATGGTGTCCCAGTTTAATTGTAGAAAAATACCATGGGTCACAGGAGGAAAGAAGACGTATGCGTATACGTTTCGCTAAGGAAGGCTTTAGTGGTTTTGATGTTCTTTTAACAACGTAAGTTTTTAGTGTTACGCTCTTTTGTATATGGCTATTACTGTTAATATATATTTCTAGCTACCACATTGTTTCCAGTACACCCGAGGAACGTAAAATGTTCCGGGTTTGTAAATTACATTATGTGATCTTTGATGAAGCGCATATGTTGAAGAATATGACAACTGCGCGTTATTCCAACTTAATTACAATTAATGCCGAAATGCGTATTTTATTGACGGGCACCCCGCTGCAAAATAATCTCTTGGAGTTGATGTCACTGCTGTGCTTTGTTATGCCCAGTTTCTTTGGTAAAAATGTTGAAGACATTAAGAGTTTATTTGGCAAGGTAAGTTGAGTTTATTCTTTCTATGGGTCAAATAATACTGTAATCAAAAGAGTTTTATTGTATGTGTTAGCCTATGCCCTCACTTCTGCAAGTAATTGTTTTGGTCAAATATATAATAAACATGCAACCACTTCACGTCGCTGGACGATAGATAGATAGATAGATAGATAGATAGATAGATAGATAGATAGATAGATAGATAGATAGATAGATAGATAGATAGATAGATAGATAGATAGATAGATAGATAGATAGATAGATAGATAGATAAAAAGATAGATAGATAGATAGATAGAAAGATAGATAGATAGATAGATAGATAGATAGATAGATAGATAGATAGATAGATAGATAGATAGATAGATAGATAGATAGGTAGATAGATAGATATATAGATAGATAGATAGATAGATAGATAGATAGATAGATAGATAGATAGATAGATAGATAGATAGATAGATAGATAGATAGATAGATAAATAGATAGATAGATAGATAGATAGTAGATAGATAGATAGATAGATAGATAGATAGATAGATAGTAGATAGATAGATAGATAGATAGATAGATAGATAGATAGATAGACAGACAGAGACAGACAGATAGAGAGAGAGAGAGAGATAAATAGATAGATAGAAAGATAGATAGATAGATAGATAGATAGATAGATAGATAGATAGATAGATAGATAGATAGATAGATAGATAGATAGATAGATAGATAGTAGATAGATAAAAAGATAGATAGATAGATAGATAGATAGAAAGATAGATAGATAGATAGATAGATAGATAGATAGGTAGATAGATAGATATATAGATAGATAGATAGATAGATAGATAGATAGATAGATAGATAGATAGATAGATAGATAGATAGATAGATAGATAGATAGATAGATAGATATTAACGTAAAGCAATTCGCGTATTCTTGAAACTATCTTCATTTTTTAAAGAGCAAATTATATTTCATACAGTATTCTTCACATTTTCATCAGTAAGATTTATTTAAAATGTTCACATCGTATCTTAAAATTTATTATTACATTTAATTTTTTAAACAGAAAAACAAAACCGAAAATGGCAATGAAGAAGTCTCACAGTTTCAAGAAACCCAAGTAGAGAGAGCCAAACGTATTATGAAACCTTTTGTATTAAGACGTTTGAAGAAAGATGTACTGAGTAATTTGCCCAAAAAAACATCTTATGTTGTAAGTATAAAGAAAAGTACTACAAATGTGCAATACTAAAGGATTATTTTATTTTATTTCTTAGGAAAAAGTGACAATGTCCGAATCACAAAAGCGTTACTACAACGAACTGGTTGATTACTATTCATCAACACGAGCAGAATTGTGCAGTGGTGATCGTGCCGGTGTTACAATTATGATGGAAATGCGTAAATTAGCGAATCACCCACTGTTGGCACGTTACTATTTCAGTGATGAAAAGCTAAGGGAGTTCTCTAAGCGCTTGGCAAATGTAACATCATATAAGAAAACAAATCCACAATATATATTTGAAGAATTGGCAATTATGTCCGATTTCCAAGTAATGCAACTCTGTAATAAATATGTAAGTGTTCAGCTTATTAGGGTGGATTTTGTTGTGAACTGTTGTGTTTTTTTTTTTTCAGGAACTTTTTGATGTAAAGATACCTGATAGACTTATATTGGACTCTGGTAAATTTAAACATTTAGACACTTTATTGCCCAAACTGAAGGAGGAGGGACATCGCGTATTGATTTTCAGCCAATTTACCATGATGTTAGATATCGTGGAGCGATATCTGACCATACGTAAGCATGGCTTTTGTCGCCTAGATGGCTCAACGGCCGTTGAAGAACGTCAGGATATGATAAATGATTTCAATAAGGATTCGGAAATTTTCATCTTTCTGTTGTCCACAAAGGCGGGTGGTGTTGGTATAAATTTAACAGCCGCCGATACTTGTATTATACACGATATCGATTTCAATCCCTACAACGATAAACAGGCCGAAGATCGTTGCCATCGTATGGGACAAACAAGACCTGTGAGCATTTATCGTTTAATAACAGAGGGCACAATTGAGGAGGGCATGTTGATGGTGGCCGAGGAAAAACTTAAACTGGAGCAGGATATCACCTCAAATGAGAAGGGTGAAGTGCAGGAAACCAAGTGCGTTGTGAGGCTTTTAACTATGGCTTTAGGCCTGGATAAGGATGAAGAGGAACAGTTAAATAAATCAATTAATAACTCATTAACATCTCCTTCCAAGTAGAATTTTATTTAGTTTTTATTATCAGAACTCATAAAATAAAATTCTATTCGTTACGACGATTCGATACTAATTATATTATAAATCTATTACTTAATTTAAATAATTTGGTACAAACTAAAGTTTTTTTTTATTTATCTATCCCTCTTCGATTAAATTTAATTATTCAAAATATCTTAAATTTCTAGTAGAAGTAGACATTTTGTATCACTACCCAAACAACTCTTCACCCAAAATATGTAAAGCAAGAGAATGTATTTAGTTTTTGTTTTATTCCGATTATTTTTTTAATATAAAATTATTGTTATTGAAATTCATTTGGCTGTACTTGCACTACGTCTAAACATTCTTGTAATTTACTCAACTCGTAAGAATTATTTTTTAAATATGTAATACATACTAACATTTATTTACAATACCTTAGATCTTTTGCTAATACATAAAACTACTATTATTTTTGCTGTTGTTAATAAAATAAAGTGAAATTGTACACTTGCTTAAATTGGAATATAAATACATATTTTCATATAATCTTTTTTTAAAATACAAAAGAACAATTTATTTTCATTTATATAATATTTTATTATTTATTAAAAAAAAACAAAAAACATTTCCCGATACATTAATTAAGAAAGTACATTTATTATAAATAAAGAATATACAACTAGATACAGAAACTAAGATTTTTTATACTTAATATACAGGAATATACATATGTATCTACGAGAAAGAATAAATCGAAAATCATAAATAACTGCTTAATTATGAACTCAATCAGTATTCAGTTACTATATTACTCGGCAGTTAGACTTCATGCAGCAGGGATATGGAAGCCAAACCGACATGGTCAAAATTGGTTAAAAAAGTTTTGAGTTATTAAAATTTTTCATTAGAATTTTGTGATTCTGAAGACACATAAAAGTAAATATAAGAATATTTGTTTTAGTTTTAAAAAATTTTACAGAAAAATATTATGTTTATCTTTATAAGATTCATAAATGTGAATTTACGAATTTTTGTTCAAATTCGATAACGCTTACTCGTCTGTGCATCTCCAAAACTCCATTTTCAAACTTTAAAAATTTTTGTTAAATGGATTTTTATAAATTTAAATTTTCTATACTGAATATTATAAAGGATATATATAAGAATTAAAACAGTTTTACCGTACCTGCGATGTGAACTTGAAGGATTTCGGGAAAAAGGCAATTTTTGCCAATAATTAAGTAAAAATTATATTATTACCAATTGTTGCTTAATTTTGATCAAGTAAATTGCGATTATTATTTCCGAGTCCCTGGAAAGTTAATTCTGATCATATTTCCGAAATTAAAAATCATTAACCCTCTAAATACCGCTCTTACCTTCAAAATAATTGAATAATATTTTACAGCAGTGCTGCCCATACACATACTGTTACACATTAATTTGTATTGGTAAAGCAGCAGAGAACAAAGTTTAACCCAAAATAAAACTGTACTAATAAAATGACTGCAAACTAAAAAGTATATTCTAACTGTCAAATTGATATTATTGATTTTGACAACAGCGTACATTAAAGTTCATATATAAAAAACTATCAGCTGTGCTCTCTCATTCATCTACATAAATTCGGCTTTCTCAAAATTTTGTTGTTGTATTTCTGTGTGGATTTTAAAAAAGTTGCGTACAGATCTTACTTCGACAAATGCTGATCAGCAACTGAGTTGATTTTGTTTTCCAAGTTGAGAGATAATCAACTTACACATGCTCAAATAAGAAAATACACAAGTAAGCTTATAGTGTATGTGAGTCAACGCAACGTCAGCAGAAATTTCTTGCCCTATCTCGCGTGATAGGGAATCGTAATTTTGGGCAACATTGTTTTACAGTCTTCCATTTGACGTCAATATTTCACTATTAGAAGTTGATCTGAGAGAAAAGCCTATTTTCGACCCACCCTAATGGTCATGCTTCTATCCTGGGGAAAACGAATTGCATCCCCGAGAATATTGATTACCGCTCTCCCACGCTCCTTCCGAACAAAAGATTCATAGTTAAGACGAACCACCCTTCTCAGAGGATCCAACACTTGACATCTACACTGATGATCTGAACTGAAGTCCTCAATAGGTGTGGGCGGTGGTTTCTTTATCCCCCGCTTTAAAAAGGCGGTGTGTTTTAGGCTAGACAACTACTGTAGCGTCTTACAGGCTGAAATCTCTGCTATTAAAAGAGAGGTTAACTGGATGAGGTACTATAGAATATGCAATGGAAATATTCAAATTTGTACTGACAGTAAACCTGCTATAAAATAATTATCTGGTGTCTACACGACATCCAGACTGTTTCGGGAATGTCGGGTGTCTCTTGGCGAGATGGCGAACCATTCGTGCCTGGAACTACTCTGGGTACCGGGTCACTCTAATATTCCCGGAAATAGAAAAGCGGACGAACTAGCAAAAACTGGTTCCCGCCTTCACATAAGGGATACTGACACTTTAGTTGGTGTCCCGCTTTCATGCTGTAAAGCCATTATTCAGCATGAACTTTATGGGTCTGCTCAGACCAGATGGTCATCACTGACCCACTGCTCAAATGACCTGGCCTCTGTACGATGAGCGAAGGTCTTTCTGTTTGATGGGGCTTTCCAGGATGAGACTACGTATACTGTTAGCCATCCTAACAGGGCACTGTACTATAGGTGCACATGCAAGAAGACTAAATATTCCATACAATGACTATTGCAGGAGTTGTCATAGTGAGGATGAAGAGGAAACCGTAGAACACTTCCTTTGCTTCTGTTCTGCCCTGGCAAATATCAGGACTGCGTTTCTAGGCAGTCCAGCATTGCATGAACTTGCAGCTCCATCTAATATAGACATTTATAAGATAGAATCGTTTATTCGTGCCTCTGGCTGGTTTAATACCACATCAATCACGGACATGTAATGTCCCATAGCTTTTGTTTTTCGCAGAATCCGTTACAGGATATCACAACGGGACCATTAGGACCCAAGTGAGTCGATCAAATGGCCGGCTGCCTCAATAACCTAACCTACTATATTACTCGAGATTTAATATTTTGACGATTAAAAAATGCGCGATCAAAACCCTAACTGGAATCAATGACGTCAAAGAACATTTAAAGACCACTTTTATTTTCATAACAACTTCCATAATAATGAAAATATGAACATTTTTGGGTCAAGTGACCCAACTTTTAAAATCGATGTCTTCCGATTGCACCAAGGTTAGTACTATGGGATAGTAGGCCAGACACAAATTTTCAGCTCTATCGGTCAAGAACTCCTGGAGTCAGACGGAGTCAAAGTTGGACATTTTGGCCATACAGGGTTTTATTCAAATGAGTGTAACATTTCACCTATTGGTCCTAGGATATCTATAAAAAAAATATTTTTTATCTCAAGAATAAATTTTTTCAAATATTTGGCACCTTATTTTCTCCTATTTTTTCAAAATGGACGTTTTTTTGTCCACTTTTAGGGGCAAATTAAGTGCCAAATATTGAAAAAAAAAAAAATATTCCTGAGTTTAAAAATAATTTTGTGGATAGATATCCCATTATGAGACTATAAAGCCCTTAAAGGAAATTGTATAATTTTTCTTTTAAGCAAAAAAGGGCCAATTAAAAAAATATATTAAAAAAAATTTAAAATTAAAAAAATAAAATTTGTAAACAATGAAGAAATAGCTATCTGAACTCCTTGGACAATATTTGCTAGGACCAATAGTTGAAAAGCTACACTCATTTAAATGAAACCCTGTATGACCAAAATGTCCAACGTTGACCCTCTCTAAGTCCGTCAGTTCTTGACCGATAGAGATGCAAAATATCGTGTTTAATTCCATGCTTTTAGGTATAATGTGAATACTAAATTTCATCCAAAATAATGATAGAAAAAATTGATTTTAAAATGCCAAAAAAAATCTTAAATTGTTTAGTGCTTTCATGAAACAATTCATATCCTCTGTATGAAGCAATTCATAACTCTATTTATTGGGGATGGTTGCGAATGCAAATTCTAAAACGAATAAATTTTAATTTTTGTTAATGCGAATGGTATAATTAAAACGAATAGTTAGAACATTTTATGAAGATCATACAACTAGCATCCGATTCAGATCACTATTATTCCTATCCTATTGTAAAATTAAATGCACATTTATTACATTTTGTTTTTTTATTCCTTTTTTCATTTGTTATTCCCGTCTGAACTTCGCTTACAATGTCGGTAGGATTAGCACAGGGGCACTTTGTTGGATTAGACTAATCTGCAAAAGGTGTTAGTAGCATACAACCATAGATGGGAATTTTGAAATTCTAATGAAAAATGGTAATGAATTTTCAAAAACAAATTTAATTAGTATTTATAATTGTAGAAACAATCTTTTTTTATATTTGACTAGCTATACCCAGTGTGCTTTGCTACCTTAAAAACGATATACATATCGTCACCTAAAACACAAACGGCCCTATAACATTTTTTTATATTTTATAAGAGAAGCAAAAAACTATTTAAATTGAAAGTTTTGTTCCAAGCGCCCTAATTAAAGTCCGCCCATTTTGCGTCCCAATTCACATGAACGTTAAACTTATTCGCGCAAAATTTGAAGATTCTAGCTGTAATAGTTATCAAAATAAACGAATTTTTGTATTTAATTCATACGGGAGGTGCCACGATCCCTATTACTAGTCTACCCATTTTTTATACTCATATTGACACTAAAGTGATTCCGACAAAATTTCAGAACTATAACTGTTTTTTTCTCAGGTATAATAATTTAACCAGGTATAAAATGGTAACCCTGGTCTAGTTCAGTCGTGATTTTAATTGTGCTCCGATTTTGTTAAACTTTAATTGGTGAAATCATTAATAAAACTGAGTTCCTGATAACCTGTCTAAAAGCTAAGTATTCCTCTGAATATTCTATACAAGTGAATGATCAAGTTGTGTTGTATTATTTCTAAATAAAGCCTTATTTTATTTGTTTTATTTCTTCGATCAACAACAACAACATTATAAAAATATTCAAGTTCTTATTTTTCCATACAATTTGTTTTTGGATTTTCATTTATATTTTGTTCCGTTTTTCCTTAATTGTCAATTTGATAAAGTTACCAAACTACTATTGTTTGTTTTCTTCACGGTATTGCCACTCTGTTCTAATTGCATTATTTAGAACAAATCCTAGGTTTGTGTCTGTACTAATTATCTGCAATATTGCCAATCGAATAATATCTGATATGGACTGTATAAGTAGAAACTGTAATATTTCTGGTGATGAACGTATGGTGTTCTGTTGGCTGTGCTTGGGAAACTACCATTTAAAATGTAGTGGACTTAAAGCTCGTGATGCAGATGCACTATCCGATAAAACCAAGAATATTCAATGGACTTGTCCAAACTGTAGAATAATTGGTATTGAATTTTATAAATTTTTCAAAAGTTACAAAACAGAATTTGATGAAATTAAGAAAGATTTTTCAACTTTACAAGGAAAATTGTCTAA